TTTACTTTTTTCTATAATTCCAACTTTCTAAATAAATCTATTCTAAATTCCTATTATAAAATATAGGATAAGGCTACCTATGGCAATCTTCTTAATGTAAATTCATCAACAACAATAATTATCAATATTTTAAACATTAAAATTCTATTAAGAGATTCTGTAGTCTAGCAACTTGGTATTCTAATCTATAAGGCAGACATGATTGCATACTTGAGATGAATGTTCTAAGAAATTCGTGGTTTGATCATCTATTACATACTTTTATATAATATTAATATAATAACTTTTTAAATTTTTTCTTTATTTTTCAAAATTACTTTTATTACTATAACTCATCGTAGCAAGGAATTATTAATCTTTATTTGTTTAAAATCAAAATTTTATTAAAAATATAAAATCATATATATACATATAAATCCAATACATATTAAAAATCTTTTAATCATTTTTACAATAGTTTACAGTTTGATCTATTTTAATTATGCCAAGCATTACAAAAATCGAATTAAATAATCAGTCGAATTTACTCTTAAAGATTAAAAACTATAATTAATTGGCATTTTAATTCTAATGTAAATTTTTCATTAGTATAAAAAGGAATGAAATTCATCTACCCTATAAAAGATTGTCAATTTGGAAATATTAACTTTATGAGAAATTAAAGAAAAAATAACTATTAGATAAAAATGCTTTTCTCAAAAAACTACAACATAGTAATTTTTTTTTAAGAATTTATCAATAATATTCTTGATGGCTAGTAATGCATGCTTTAGGACAGCTGGATATATAACTATACAGTATTATTAAGAGTTCAAATGTATGAAATTGATGATCAGAAGAAAAAGATTAAATAAATATGGGAAGCATGTAAAGAAAAAATTGATTTTAAAAGCAGATATAAATAGTAAACTACTTTCGAATTTTAAATTGTAAATTTATTAATAATTATGAGTTGATTTTTTCTATTTTCATTTGACAAACTTTCTGTTCTATATTTATTCTGTAGATTTCATAATGTTGTACAATAAAAATGCTGAATGCTATGTAATTTTGGAATGAGAGTAGCAGTAAAAATAGAATTGTGAAGTAAAAGTCGATCACTTCTCCGCTTGATTTACTTTCAGGAATTAATAAAAAATAATTAATGTTCTTTTATGTATATAAGCAAATATTACATTATAAAATTAGTTAAAATTTATTTAATGAAATTGTTTACTTGTTAAGATATTGCGCACGAAAGAGAAGCTATATAGGGATTCTGTTTAAATTTTGGATGCTAGGATTCAAGGCCTTAGTTCTGTCTATAATGTAGAATTGACCCCAAGAAGCACTCTAATTGCAAGAAAGATTTAAAAGGATTTGATTAGATTTAAAGTTTTATCACGAACTTCAATTAGAATATACTTGATTTAGGAACTGAATTGAATAAATCCTTCACATAAGTCAAAGTAAAATATGAAGAATTCTCAAAATAATAAGAGAATAATTAATAAATGAAAGCCAATTTATAATTGATAAAGGAATGGTATCAATATTTAAACAATCAAGAGCAGATTATGAAGTAGAATTAAATTGGTACTTTATATATGTAATACTTATAGGAACTTAATTAACTAGAATCAAAAGAATGATTAGAGCATTGGATTTAGAGAAAGGATAATAATAAACCCAGGATATTAAATAAGATGATGAAAATGCACTCTAATAAGGTATTCAAATATTTTATAATTAAATTAGGAATACAATTACTAAATTAATAGAAATGGTAGGAGGCTAATGAAAAAATAAATTAGTATATAAAATTATCAGAGAAACAATTATCATTGGCAACATTGTTTAAAAGTAATTCTTTAATTTATAGATAATTAGGTATATTCTTAATTGAGATGAATTAACCAGGGTAAGGAATTTTTATGAGAGAATAGGTTAAAAAGATTAATAATAACCTGCATCCAAATCTATTGGCTTATTCAGATCAAGAATTAATTAGAACACAATAAAATTCTTTTATGTTATTAGCAAAATGTAAAAGAAATATATCATTTTTATAGCCTATGCTTTAAAGTATGAACTAACTTATATATTATTTTAGGTGAAGAAAAGAATTCAAAGAATTTTCAGGAGGTAAAAGAGTTATGCGAAAAGGTTTGAGAGAAGAACCATAAAATCTTCATGCTTTGTATAGAAAAAGTAATTGTGTATTTTAAAAAAAAAGGCTATTCATTATATTATTTGACTCAATAATCAGAAGCAATTTAATGTATTGAGGTAGCTCTTAAATATAATCCATAGTATAGTATTGGTTACATAACAAAAGGTATTTATAAGTTTAGGTTTTGCCTTAGATGATCTTAATAAATACAATGAGGCAATTGTTTGCTATGATAAAGCAATCCAAATAGATCCAAATTATGCAGTTGCCTATATGAATAAAGGTTTGTAATTTTTTGATTGTATTAGGTCTTGCCTTATATACTCTTAATAAATATAATGAGGCAATTGTTTGCTATGTTAAAGCAATCCAAATAGATCCAAATTATGCAGATGCCTATTTAAATAAAGGTTTAATTTTTTGATTAAATAAAATAATTAAGGTTTATGAAAAGTAACAAATATTAAGCAATACTCATTAGCTAAAGAGAATTATGAGCAGGCAATTAAATAGTGCAATTCAGAAAAAGATGAATTCAAACGTTTAATTATGTAATTAAACAATAAAAAATGATATATTCATTTATTTAATATTATTAATATCAGTTTACATTATTTCATTAAAATTAATTATTGTTTTGATGCTTTTTATCCTTTCGTATGTTCACAATCATAACAAGCATTCCATCATTTCCTTCTTCTGTAAATTTTCATATATCTATGTCGTTTCTTCTCTTAATTTATAATTTCTTCTATCTCAAATAAGCATTTTACTATAATCAGAATTTTATCTATTCATTGTTTTTTAAACTCAAAATCGAAAAAAATGTTTGGATTAATTCAAATTCTTGAAAACTATATTATTTTAAAGTAGATCCTAAATCAATTTGACATGCAAAAAGTTATAAGAAAATGATTAAAATTATAATTGTAATGTTTTAATGGATATTCAAATTCACTTTTGCTTTAAGTCTTCTAAAAAGCAACTTCCTTTGGATTTAAACAATGGTTTTAAATCTTTCCCTTAATGATTAATGAATTGTCCTTATAGGATAAGTGATCCTGATGCTTCTAATAAGGGATTCTAACAGATTCTAAGTATTGTACGATCTGGATTAACTAAATAATAATGAATAATAAATACCATTTGGCAATAAGGAGCTATTCTGAAGTGGTATGTTAAACTAGGCAAGCAAACGTTTATAGCTACTATCTGATTTAAGTATTTCCTTTGATGTTTTTACATTCCAAAGACGAATAGAGTTATCATCACTACCAGAAGCTAATGTATTTCCATCAGGTGAGAAATTGACTGAATAAACTGTTGATGAATGACCATCTAATTTGGCTTTTTATTATCCTGTCTTAACATCCCATAAACGGATAGAGCTATCTGCACTACCAGATGCTAATGTAGTACCATCAGGAGAGTAACAAATTGAAGTAACTGCATTTGAATGACCATCTAATTTGGCTTTTTATTATCCTGTCTTAACATCCCATAAACGGATAGAGTTATCTGCACTACCAGATGCTAATGTAGTACCATCAGGAGAGTAACAAATTGAAGTAACTGCATTTGAATGACCATCTAATTTGGCTTTTTATTATCCTGTCTTAACATCCCATAAACGGATAGAGTTATCTGCACTACCAGATGCTAATGTAGTACCATCAGGAGAGTAACAAATTGAAGTAACTGCATTTGAATGACCATCTAATTTGGCTTTTTATTATCCTGTCTTAACATCCCATAAACGGATAGAGTTATCTGCACTACCAGATGCTAATGTAGTACCATCAGGAGAGTAACAAATTGAAGTAACTGCATTTGAATGACCATCTAATTTGGCTTTTTATTATCCTGTCTTAACATCCCATAAACGGATAGAGTTATCTGCACTACCAGATGCTAATGTAGTACCATCAGGAGAGTAACAAATTGAAGTAACTGCATTTGAATGACCATCTAATTTGGCTTTTTATTATCCTGTCTTAACATCCCATAAACGGATAGAGTTATCTGCACTACCAGATGCTAATGTAGTACCATCAGGAGAGTAACAAATTGAAGTAACTGCATTTGAATGACCATCTAATTTGGCTTTTTATTATCCTGTCTTAACATCCCATAAACGGATAGAGTTATCTGCACTACCAGATGCTAATGTAGTACCATCAGGAGAGTAACAAATTGAATAAACTGTATTTGAATGACCATCTAATTTGGCTTTTTATTATCCTGTCTTAACATCCCATAAACGGATAGAGTTATCTGCACTACCAGATGCTAATGTAGTACCATCAGGAGAGTAACAAATTGAAGTAACTGTATTTGAATGACCATCTAATTTGGCTTTTTATTATCCTGTCTTAACATCCCATAAACGGATAGAGTTATCTGCACTACCAGATGCTAATGTAGTACCATCAGGAGAGTAACAAATTGAATAAACTGTATTTGAATGACCATCTAATTTGGCTTTTTATTATCCTGTCTTAACATCCCATAAACGGATAGAGTTATCTCCACTACCAGATGCTAATGTAGTACCATCAGGAGAGTAACAAATTGAATTAACCCAATTTGAATGACCATCTAATTTGGCTTTTTATTATCCTGTCTTAACATCCCATAAACGGATAGACATTCGTATTCCGGCCGTAGGGTAGAGGATTCGTATTCCGGCCGTAGGGTAGATTCGTATTCCGGCCGTAGGGTAGAGGACCCTACTATATTCGGGCAGTAGGTACCCCCCCCGGATTTGTGAATTTGAAAATTTCCAAAATCTAAAGGAAATTTAAAATAACGACTATGTAATATGTAATTATTTCCTTTTTTTTTGATTTTAATGAAGGAAGAATATATTTATTGTATTACAATTTATTTATTCTTCAGAATAAATTAATAAATTGAATGAAATTTAGGTTTTAGATACATTATAATAATACTATTAGTTTGAAGTTGGGAAAAACAATTGAACATGAAGTAAGGAAAATTAAAAAAATATTCATTTATGTGAAATGGTTTAATAATATACAATTAAACTTTTGAAAATGATGAACTCTTTTATATGTTATTTTACCTAAAAATATTGTTTATTTCTATTTGCTTTAAATTCAAGTTTATAGTGTATCATAAATCTTTCTTGTTCAATCATTTAATTAAATATTACGTTTAGGTTATAAAATTTCACCATGATTCAATTTCTTGATATTCACAAAAGATATGAAATAATTTTATTTTATTTTTTTAATGCAAGCTGTTATGATTTATAGGTTCAATCATAAATAATGAGGTATTTCTTATTCTAACCAATTCTTTTGTTCTCATTCAACAACACTTTTAGTTATGGTACTTGGAATTCAATTTTATTCCTTTCTACTTTAATTTTTCTTATTAATCAATTCTGTTTGATTAAAAATTTAAGATTGTTGAATAGCAGAACATTATTGCACTTTCTAGAGCAATTTGATTGTTTTTGTGGAAGTATAAGATCGGAATTAAAGAATCAGAATTGAGTATAAGGCTTAATGTCTTTTTTGGTCTAGAATTTCTTAGTTCATCAAATTCTCTACTTTCCTCTTATAATACTTATTCAAAATCTTCCTCTCTATAAAGCCACTCAAAACTCACTAAAATTCTCTGTCTCTATGGAATGACTCTCAAATTAAGAAAATTCTTCTACTAAATTGAGATTCTCTTTATTTGCATTTTTAATATTTGTCTCTATAGGATACCAGATATTTTTTTAAACTACATTCAAATGTTAATCAAGTATTATAAAATTTGGCTTTCATAAAAGATGCAAGAATTCTTAATTGTCAGTAATAAGATCAATATCACTCCTTGTTAGGGGCCATTATGTTTATATCGTTAAAGTTACAGACTAATAACACTAGAAGTGATTAATTTAAGTAAATAACTTTTTTTGTAAATATAGACTGACAATGTTTTATTTAATCACTTAATATATGAATATGATAATGCTTCATAACTTTGATAGTTAGCTTTTTATGTAAGCATTCTAACCCAAACCCATTTCCTATGCAGCAAAATAAAAGTATTTAGCTTCTGAACTTCTACGTAATTCAATTAATGAATCAGCTAAATAGAAATTAAAGATTAATTTACCTGTATATTCTAATCTATGAGCAGTAGGATTTATTTTAAGTGCTTGTTCAAAATTTGAGAGTGCATCCAAATGTTTCTATAATTTTTGTAGGATTAAACCTGAATAACAAATATCATTACCTTTATTGTAAATTGCTTAATCAAATTTAGGGTTAATAGATATTGCTTCATTATAACATTCAATAGCTTCTTCATATTGATTCAATTTTTGTAATGTGTTACCTATATAATAATATTTATTAATAGATTACCCTTGTTATACCATGCATCAACATCTTTGGGGTTAATAGATAATGCTTCATTGTAACATTCAATCGCTTCTTCATATTGATTCAAATTGAATAATGCATTACCTATGTAGTAATAATAAATGATAGATTACCCTTGCCATTCCATGCATTAAGATATTTAGCGTTAATAGATATTGCTTCATCGTAACATTCAATTGATTCTTAGTATAGATCTAAATTGAATAATGAGAGACCTAAATATTGAAATTTAACAATTATTTACCCTTGCCATTCCACGCATTGACATATTTAGGGTTAATAGATATTGCTTCATTGTAACATTCAATAGCCTCTTCATATTGATTCAAATTGTATAATGCAAGACCTAAATATTAATATTTAATTATTAATTACCTTTGTTGCACCATACATAATCATATTTAGGGTTAATAGATAATACTTCATTGTAACATTCAATAGCTTCTTCATATTAATTCAACTTGTATAATGTGAGACCTAAATATTATAATTTATCAATTAATTACCCTTATAATTCAGTGCATGAACATATTTAGGGTTAATAGATAATGCTTTATTGTAACATTCAATCGCTTCTTCAAATTGATTCAAATTGTATAATGCATTACCTATGTAGTAATAATAAATGATAGATTACCCTTGCCATTCCATATATCAACATCTTTCGGGTTAATAGATAATGCTTCATTGTAACATTCAATAGCTTCTTCATATTGATTCAATTTTTGTAATGCATCACCTAAATATAAATATTTAATTATTAATTACCTTTGCCACACCAGACATAATCATATTTAGAGTTAATAGATATTGCTTCATTGTAACATTCAATAGCTTCTTGATATTGATTCAATTTTTATAATGCACCACCTAAATAATAATATATAACACCAAATTACCCTTGTTATACCATGCAGCAAAATATTTAGGGTTAATATATATTGCTTTGCATTAACATTTAATTGCTTCTTCATATTGATTCAAATTATATAAAGCATCACCTAAATATTAATATTTAATTAGTAATTACCTTTGTTACACCATGCACTATCAAATTTAGGGTTAATTGAAACAGCTGCATCGAAACATGAAATTGCATCTTGATTTTGATTCAATTTTTTTAATGCATAACCTAAATATTCCTATTAAACAATTAACTACCCTTTCCATTTTATGCAGGATCATATTTCGGATTAATAGAAATAGCTTTGTCGTAACAATTAATTGCTTCTTGATATTGATTCAATTTGGTTAATGCATTACCTATATATATATAAATATTTAACAATTAATTACCTTTATTATACCATAAATAAGCATATTTAGGATTTATAGATATTGCTTAATTATAACATTCAATTGCTTCTTAGCATTGATTCAAATTATATAATGCATCACCTAGATAATATAATATTCAACAATAAATTACCTTTGCTATTCCATACATCAACTTATTCAGGGCTAATAAGCATTGGTTCATCATAGCATTAAATTACTTCTTAGCACTATTTCAAATCTGCTAATGCAATACCTAAATGTTGACATTTAACAATAAATTACCCTTACCAATCTTTGCATCAACATTGCTTGGGTACATAGTAATTGCTTCATTCTAAGATGCTTCTTGATGTAGCTTCAAATCTGATAATTCATCACCTAAATATCATTTTTAAACAATTTACTACCCTAATCATGCTACACTTTATCTTCTTTAGGATTAATAGAAATAGGTAAAATCATAAAAATAATAATGAAAATTCATTAAACACATTAATATATCTAACATTTATTTAATGTTATTTAATAAATTAAACATAATATTATAATAAACTCTATTAGGTGTAAGATTGACATGTTGTGTTAGGTAATACTGACTTTGCCTTATTTTTAACCTTTTATTGATCAGATTAAATCCTATTTGCGTATTATGTTTGATAATTGAATATTCAAACAAAACAGACTTGCAATCTGAATCAATGCTATTTGTTTTGTAAACTCAAAAGTCATCCTTTAGAATTGAAATAATGGTATTAGATCCTTGTCTTAATAATTTACAAATATTCCTTTCAAAATTAAAGCTCTCAGCTATTTTTTAAAATTGAGAGATGTTAAAGGGGCAATTTAAACTAAGCATAAGGTCTTTGTAACAATTATCTTGAGGTAGAATCTCTTAAGCTGTCTCAAAATCCCATATACTGATAGAGTCATTTCCACTACCAGAATTAGATGTAGTACTATTGTGAGAGAATCCTGTATTTTATTTTTTAAAGATATATATATACGCCTGTATTTTTCTTTTTTATAGATAATTATTTATGCCTTAGGACAGCAATTTTTTGGAACTAGATTGTGATAAGTATTCATATTATTTCCTACTAACAAATTGTTATCAATAAACAATAATAAAGGTGTTTGTCTCATAAGTTTAATATCTGTTGACCATCTAATTATTTCAAAGTGTTATTAATTGCAGATTAAATTATTAGGGGTAAATTTTGAATAATTTTAGGATTTTACATGTTCTTCTATTAAATAATTCTATTTGTTATTTTTTAAATGCCATGCAAGCTGTTAAGATTTATAGGTTCAATCATAAATAATGAAGTATTTCCTATTCTAACCAATTCCTTTATTTTCATTCAACAACACTAAAGATTTTTAGTTAAGGGCAAATACATTAAATTAATATATACAACTTTTAATCCTCTAATCTATACCATACATTCTACTATCTTAATAATGGAAAAATCACTACCCTAAATTGTTATTTAGATATATTATATCATACATCAATAAATAGATCTCATTCCCCTATTTAAAAATACATTAAATTAATCTATCCATTCCATAAAATATACATACATAATAGATTTACCTTTATTTATCATTAAAATATTGTATATCAT